AAAAGTGGAGGTTGTCAAAGACAGTTGCCTATTTCAATGGCCTATTGCAAAATGGTGGCTGGGTGGGACTTTTATAGTTGACCTCATATAATGCTCCTCACATGGTCACACTGTGGGCACAATCTGTTACCGGCTGTGCCCACTGGACACAGCAGATGACAGATCACTGTATCGGCCTGCTGCCTTTACCATGCGATTGCTGTGAACAATCACAGCAGATCACATGACAATTGAAACAGTGAATAGTTTCGATTCATAACATTCATTTTGTACAATTGTGTTACTAGCTGTGATTGGTCACAGTGATCACATGGTACAGACAGGTCCAATTATAGCCCATCCATATTATGTGGTTAGCTGCGGCCAATCACAGCTAATCACAACAATACATACTGAATGAATCTATTTAATTCAGTAGAAATGCTTGCTTATTGCAGTGAAATTCACTGTGGTAAGCAATCATAATGTGTAAAAAAAAAAAAATCCTGATCCCTATTTCCCCAGAGTAGTACAATGTTGCTATAGTAACATTATATTGCTCTGGTCAGAAAATCTCAATTTTCAGTGTGAAATGAAAAATAGATTTCTCCATCCCATCTATCTTATCACACATTTCACAAAGCCTGGCACCTATGGGCACTGCATCCTAAATGCACAGTTACAATTTGATGGCACTTACATTTTTGGAATATATTAATAAATATGGAAAAATAATATTGAAGATATGACTGGTATTTTGCTATGTTTTATGATTATATACTCTCCGTGTTACCTCCCCCTTGCACCCCCCCCTCCCTCCTCTACCCCCCACCCCCCATGGTTCATACTGTACTGTATGGTTATTTTCCTGTTTAATAAACCCCTACAATATCAATGTATGTACCGTATTTTCCGGCGTATAAGACGACTTTTTGACCCTTGAAAATCTTCTCAAAAGTCGGGGGTCGTCTTATACGCCGGTATACGGCATGCTGACACTTTTTAGGGGGGGCGGTGCGGTGCCGCCGCCGCCCCCCCCCCCCCCATTCCAACGGAAGTGAAACTAAGTACAGGGGTGGGCAGGGGCTTCTGTTTCTTACCTGGCTCCGGTCCCACGACGATCCGGTCCAGGAAGCGCAGCTGCTCCCTCCTTCAGTTCGGCCACTGGATGTTCGTGCGGCTGCTCGGCTCCGCCTCCTCACCGGTGATTGGCCGCCAGAACTGTAGCTCGGGAAAGGCACACAGGCGGCCAATCACCGGGGAGGAGGTGAAGCCGAGCGGCCCCGCGAAAATCAAGTGATGGTAAGTGTGCCGTGCACAGGTGCTGCTGCAACCATATATGCTTGCTGCAGCAGCACCATACTGAACAGGGGTCAGCAAGTGTCAGTGGGAGGAATAGTGCCCCATCATTGGTGTCACTGATACCAATGATGGGGCATTATTCCTCCCACTGACACCGACGATGGGGCACTTCCCCCCCCCACTGACACCAACGATGGGACACTATTCCCCCCCCACTGACACCAACGATGGGGCACTATTCCACCCCCCACTGACACCAATGATGGGACACTATTCCCCCCACTGACACCAATGATGGGGCACGATTCCTCACACTGACACCAATGATGGGGCACTATTCCTCCCACTGACGCCAATGATGGGGCACTATTCCTCCCACTGACGCCAATGATGGGGTGCTATTCCTCCCACTGACACCAATGATGGGACACTATTCCTCCAACTGACACCAATGATGGGGTGCTATTCCTCCCACTGACACCAATGATGGGGTGCTATTCCTCCCACTGACACGAATGATGGGACACTATTCCTCCCACTGACACCAATGATGGGGTGCTATTCCTCCCACTGACACCAATGATGGGGTGCTATTCCTCCCACTGACACCAATGATGGGACACTATTCCTCCCACTGACACCAATGATGGGGCACTATTCCTCCCACTGACACCAATGATGGGACACTATTCCTCCCACTGATACCAATGATGGGGCACTATTCCTCCCACTGACACCAATGACTGGGCACTATTCCTCCCACTGATACTAATGATGGGGCACTATTCCTCCCACTGACACCAATGATGGGGTGCTATTCCTCCCACTGACACCAATGATGGGACACTATTCCTCCCACTGACACCAATGATGGGGTGCTATTCCTCCCACTGACACCAATGACTGGGCCCTATTCCTCCCACTGATACTAATGATGGGGCACTATTCCTCCCACTGACACCAATGATGGGGCACTATTCCTCCCACTGACACCAATGATGGGACACTATTCCTCCCACTGATACCAATGATGGGGCACTATTCCTCCCACTGATACTAATGATGGGGCACTATTCCTCCCACTGACACCAATGATGGGACACTATTCCTCCCACTGATACTAATGATGGGGCACGATTCTTCCCACTGGTGTGCATTGGTAGAGGGGTAGTCTTATACGGCGAGTATAGCCCAAACACTACATTTTAACAGGAAAAGTAGGGGGGTCGTCTTATACGCCCAGTCGTCTTATACGCTGGAAAATACGGTACCAATATGGACCTACGGATGTCCCTGTTACTTCCTTGTTACTTTCCTTGTTAACCTCCACTCCAGGTTGGTGAAAAAATTAATTATATAATGAAAATTACATAAAAAAAAAATGTAAATATTCTTGAAAGTCCTCTTCCCAAGGAAATAAATTGTGCTTCCACCAAAAATAATGCTCAAAAGATTATACCGCACTCACCAGATTTTGTTGAAAAAAAACACCTTTTAGTGTTTTTTTGGGGGATCCTAGACCCAGTCAGTATGTCTCCAGATAATCCTGGATTTCTTCCACTCCAAACCAGAATATAGCCAGTCTTCAACCTCCAGGATCACCAGACACCACTCTCCAAGAAAAAGCTCAGAATAATGTAGGGAGAAAAACAAATACATAGCGTAATATTGCAACATTTAGTTATATTCAATTTTCAAGTACCAAGCCACTCACATTCTTAATGATCAAAATCAGCATTTTATTGCATTTAAATGAATCCAAAACGCCACAACATCGGGGGGGTAATTTCCTGAGATCCCACGGTCAGCATCAGATGACAGCACAGAGAATCTCCCATACACAAGATGCCCCCCAGGAACGCCGCATGCCGGCGTGTGTTCCACTCACCAGAAGTGACATATTACGTATGACGGCGAAACCGGAAACGCGTTTACCTAAAAAACCCTAAAAGGCGTTTATTTTTCACCAAAATCTGGTGAGTGCGGTATAATCTTTTGAGTACTATTTTTGGTGGAAGCACAATTTATTTCCTTGGGAAGAGGACTTTCAAGAATATTTATATATTTTTTTTATTTAATAGTTCATTTTTTCACCAACTTGGAGGGGGACTTATTTATTTCAGGTACTTATATAGGACCGTCCCTTTGCATATATATTGTACATTTACATCAGTCCCTAACCCTCAAGGGGCGTACAATCTAAGGTCCCTAACTCACATCCATACATACACATACTAGGGACAATGTAGACAGGAGCCAATTCACCTACCAGCATGTCTTTGGAGTGTGAGAGGACACCGGAGTACCCAGAGAAAACCCACACAGGCACATAGAGAACATGCAAACTCCAGGCAGGAGGCGCCGTGGCTGGGATATGAACCAACAACCCGAGTACTGCCAGTCGGAAGTGCTAACCACTTAGCCACTGTGCTTATAATTTTATATATATTTTTTTGCAGTGGTATTTATTTAAATTTCTTTTTGCGCTGTTTTAATGTTTTGTATTTTTTGGTGTGGGTTTGCATTGATGAGCAGCAGCATCCATTTGTATATTTAGTATAAATTTGTACAAATTTTGGCGCTGGTGATTTATGTTTAAAATACCTCACACTGTCTACTTTCCAAAAAAGGGTCACTCAAGAAACGAGATAGAACTTTCCTACAGACTAAGGCAGGGACGGACTGACAACTCATGGGGCCCCGGGCAATAGGGGATCATGGGGCCCCTGTGTCCTTGCCCAAACTCAAAAAAGCCTATGAAAAAGGTACCAGGGGCATCTCATGGGGCCCCCTACTGACCCCGGGCCCTCGGGCAGTGCCCGAGTTTCCAAATGGTCAGTCCACCCCTGGTCATCATAACCTTCCAAGTCCAAATCTTTTCTGAGGAGTGATGCATTTTACCTGTTAATAGAAACACATTCCTCCCATCATTCATCACTTACTGTATACTTTCCAATCCTCTTTTTTTCGATATTGTACTGTATTTACATTTTCTAATAACCGAAGCCTTGTTTTTTTTTGATCGTATTTCATTCAGGGAGCATCACAGTTAGAACTGAACAGCAGATCATTTAAAGGTGTATTTATACTCTAGGTATAAGGAAGCCTGCTGGGGATTTAACCCCCATGGGAGAAAGAACTAATTAATGTTGAAAGAAATGTTGTATCTATGATGAATATTTGAAAGATACTGTAAAAATGGCATTGCTTACAGGCAAAATACAAAAAGATGCCTGCTTATTTTATGTACACTATATTGCCAAAAGTATTTGGACACCTGCCATTATACGCACATGAACTTTAATGGCATTAAGGTCAGGACTCCAAACTGGCTCCTCCATGTCTTTATGGACCTTGCTTTGTGCACTGGTGCGCAGTCATGTTGGAACAGGAAGGGGCCATCCCCAAACTCTTCCCACAGAGTTAGGAGAATGAAATTGTGCAAAATGTCTTGGCATGCTGACACCTTAAGAGTTCCCTTCACTGGAACTAGGGGGCCAAGACCAACCCCTGAAAAACAACCCCACACCATAATCCCCCCTCCACCAAACTTTACACTTGGCACAATGCAGTCAGGCAAGTACCGTTCTCCTGGCCACCGCCAAACCCAGACACGTCCATTGGATTGCCAGACAGAGAAGTGTGATTGGTCACTCTAGAGAACATGTCTCCACTGCTCTGGAGTCCAGTGGCAGTGTGCTTTACACCACTGCATCCGACACTTTGCATTGCACTTGGTGATGTACGGCTTGGATGCAGCCGCTCGGCCATGGAAACCCATTCCATGAAGCTCTCTACGCACTGTTGTGCTAATCTGAAGACCACATGAAGTTTGGAGGTCTTTAGCTATTGATTCTGCAGACAGTTGGCGACTTCTGCGCACTCTCCGCTTCAGCAAGCGCTGACCCCGCTCTGTCATGTGACGTGGCCTACCACTTGGTGGCTGAGTTGCTGTTGTTCCCAGTTGCTTCCACTTTGTTATAATCCCACTAACAGATGAGCGTGGAATATTTAGTAGCCAGGAAATGTCACGGATGGACTTATTGCACAGGTGGCCACCTATCACGGGACCACGCTTGGAGTCACTGAGCTCCTGAGAGCGACCCATTCTTTCACCAATGTCTGTAGAAGCAGTCTGCATGCCTAGGGGCTTGATTGTACACACCTGTGGCCATGGAGGGAATTGGAACACCTGAATCCAATAATTGGGAGGGCGGGGCCAATACTTTTGGCAATTTAGTATATATATATACGGCAGCACAGTGGCTAAATGGTTAGCACGTCCGCCTGGCAATGCTAGGGTCATTGGTTCAAATCCCAGCCACGGCACCTCCTGCCTTGAGTTTACATGTTCTCCCTGTGCTTCCAAGGAAATCCCACAGATATGGAAGATATACAGATTCTTGCATTGGGCCAAGCTTGACCAATGTAACTATGTAAATATTGCCATAGCTTGAATTCAATTTTAACCACTTGAGCTCATAAAGGTTTTAGGCCATTTTTTCTATTTACTGTAGCACTGTGCTACTTTATCTGGCAGTTGCATAGTTATGCAACTTTGTACCCAAACAAAATTTATATCATTTTTTTCACACAAATAGAGCTTTTGGTGGTATTTGATCACCACTGTTTTTTTTTTTTTTTTTTTCCGTTTTAAATGAAAAAAAGACCAAAAATTTGGAAAAAAACCCACAACATTTTTTACTTTCTGCTACAGAACATATCCAAAAAAAAAATAAAGAAAGACAAATTTGTTCATAATGTTTGGTCAACATGTATTCAGATTCATGTCTTCGATGAAAAAATGCCAGTCGGTGTTTATTGATTGATTTGCGCGATAGTTAGCATCTACCTTACAAACTATGGTGTATATATTGGATTTTTTTTAATTCAGCAGCTAATAATGGGACAATGGGCAATCTGACACTAACTGATGCTGGGGGGAACTGACTAACTGCCACTGACATCACCAGTGACACTAAGACAGTGATCAGTGCTAATACTATACACTGTCACTGTACTAATGACACAGGCTGGGAAAGGGTCAAAGTATAACTAAACCCACAGCAGTACAATCAGTCTGTAGATGCAGTAAAGCATGCTTGTTATACTCACTGTGGAACCTAAGGGGTTAATCCTCTGCATTGTGCAAAAAGGCTGTTTGATCCTGACTTCTCTGCCCCTCCTCTTGTTCAAATGTCCACCTGATAAGACTGACTGAACCCGTAGTCACATACATATGCTCAGTTTCGTGTGTATTGCTAGAGATATTTTTTTTTTTTGGGAGAGTGCATGTGATCAGAACAGGGCCAATCAGCACTATCCAGACAGAGGTCAGGGGTTTTGCATCCCCTTAGAGCAGAAAGAATACTCATACAAGCTTTAAACAGTGCTCGGCCAGACACTGATAGAAGTCACAAGTCTGCTCGAACTGATGATGAGAAAAGGTATTAAGCAGTTTATATTTACTAAAATAACTGCATTTTCATGTTGTGTGTACTGTGGGAGACTTGATATAGTAAATACAGGGTCCTGGGAGAGCGGATATAGTGAATGCAGGGTCCTGGGAGACCAGATGTAGTGAATGCAGGGTCCGGGGAGAGCGGATATAGTGAATGCAGGGTTTGGGGAGACCGGATATAGTAAATGCAGGGTCCAGGGAGAGCAGATATAGTGAATGCAGGGTCCGGGGAGACCAGATATAGTGAATGCGGGGTCCGGGGAGAGCAGATATAGTGAATGCGGGGTCCGGGGAGACCAGATATAGAGAATGCAGGGTCCGGGGAGACTGGATATAGTGAATGCAGGGTCCAGGGAGAGCAGATATAGTGAAAGCAGGGTCCAGGGAGAGCGGATATAGTGAATGCAGGGTCCGGGGAGAGCGGATATAGTGAATGCGGGGTCCAGGGAGAGGGGATATAGTGAATGCAGGGTCCGGGGAAAGGGGATATAGTGAATTCAAGGTCCGGGGAGAGGGGATATAGTGAATGCAGGGTCCGGGGAGACAAGATATAGTGAATGCAGGGTCCGGGGAGACAAGATATAGTGAATGCAGGGTCCGGGGAGACCGGATATAGTGAATGCAGGGTCCGGGGAGACAAGATATAGTGAATGCAGGGTCCGGGGAGACCGGATATAGTGAATGCAGGATCCGGGGAGAGCGGATATGGTGAATGCAGGGTCTGGGGAGAGCAGATATAGTGAATGCAGGGTCCGCGGAGAGCGGATATAGTGAATGCAGGGTCCGGGAAGAGCAGATATAGTGAATGCAGGGTCCAGGGAGACCAGATATAGTGAATGCAGGGTTCGGAGAGACCAGATATAGTGAATGCAGGGTCCGGGAAGAGCAGATATAGTGAATGCAGGGTCCGGGGAGACCAGATATAGTGAATGCAGGGTCCGGGAAGAGCAGATATAGTGAATGCAGGGTCCAGGGAGACCAGATATAGTGAATGCAGGGTTCGGAGAGACCAGATATAGTGAATTCAGGGTCCGCGGAGAGCGGATATAGTGAATGCAGGGTCCGGGAAGAGCAGATATAGTGAATGCAGGGTCCGGGAAGTGCGAGGAAAAAAAACATTTTTTCTCCATGTCTTCCTCTGCCTTCCGAGACTAAGGTCCCGGTCTCCTGAGATACATTTGTCTCTCAGGCCTATCAAAAATGGTTTCTTTTCCCTTAGGCCTTTTGTGGATTTCCCCTTCTCTGCTTTTGACTGTTTTATTAATTTTCTCTTTTTCTTTTTTTTACTTCTTTTTGCACTTTTTAATTTTTCTGTGTTCTCAAGCTCTGAAAAGCCATGGGACTCTGTTACATACACCTTGGGACACCTCTTTTCTTATGCCTTCATTGCTATTTGCTGTCTTAGAAGTATGGCTTTTTAAAGTAATGTCCTATAATGAGAAAGGTTTGAATTAAAAAATGGTGGTTGTCACCGAGAGTTGTATATAAATAGGAGCTGATGTGATCCTGGTACAAGAGACACATTTTCAACCTGAGGGATCTGTTAAATTTGCCTCTAAACAGTTCCCCACCTCCTTCCTGGCCTCTGACCTTACTGGAAAGATTGGTGTGGCAATGAGACGTGCCTATCCCCTTCTAGACTCCTGGTGGATAAAGTATCCCACTGGTAAACCATTCACATTCTACTCCCCTCCTCACAAAATCTACTCTAGACTTGATTACTTTCTTATTTCTGCCCCTCTTTAACCAATACTGTAGCTTCTGAAATTGATCAACTCACCTGGTCCAACCACACTCCAATCTTTTTGGATATTATGTTGTCAGCAACATCCTTTAAAAGGTGCCACTGGCATCTCAAAGATTCTCTTCTCCATCTTGATGTGACTTTCCCAAGACTTCCTGAAGTTCTTCAAACCCAACGAGGGCTTCGTCTTGGAGGGGACCACTTTGTGGGAAGCCCACAAGACCTTTTTTAGGGGACAATGTATTTCCATTGGACTCAAACACTTTAAGGAATACCTCGTTGGGCAAACTACGCATCTCTGAAAGAGAGCTAATCCTTTCAACCACAGTGGCTAGCCTCTGAGAGGTGACCCATCTCCACAATCAACTTAAATGTTTGTCCATGACTAAAATTGATAAATCCCTAATGCGGTCTAAACAAAAATTCTATGAATACTTTAATAAGCTCCACAGAATGTTAGTTAATAAACTTAAACTCCGTCCTTTTCATTCCTTCCCTGATTTCCTTATTCAAGCAGATGGCACACCTACACACTGCCCCCAGTCCATGTAAGGGGTCTTTGGAGACTTCTTTCGAAAGCCCTATAATTGTCTGACACTCAAAAATCATTTTACCTTTAAACAAGAAGCATTCAGCTTTTTTTTCACTACTTTAAACTTGTCTAAATTGTCTTCCTTTAATGTACAGCTATTAAATGTGTCTGTCTCTCCAGAAGAGCTAAAAAAACTGGCACAAAAATCTCCTGGTCCTGACCGGCTTCCTTACATATATTACAAACGTTTTTCACATATTTTACAACCCCAAATGCTAGCTCTTTATAACTCTGTCCTTGAGGGTAAGGTTACCCACTCCCAATGTTTGCATTAATATGTAAGCTAATACCAAAACCGGGCTACAGCAGCAGAAGACCACACCGGGTGCCAGTGTACCTATTTTCTGATGGCTACTTCCAGCAGGATAATGCTCCATGTCACAAAGCTCAAATCATCTCAAACTCATTTCTTGGACATGACAATGAATTCACTGTATTCCAATGACCTCTACCATCACCAGATCTCCATCCAATAGAGCACCTATTGGCATCATGGATTTACAGCCAACAAATCTGCAGCAACTACGTGATAATATCATGTCAATATGGCCCAAAATCTCTGAGGGATGTTTCCAACACTTGTTGTTAGGGATCCGGGTATGACCAGAAATGTGTGGGAACACAGGCGTAGTCAGGGCTGGAGAGGTGGAATGGTCATGCAGGCCGTATGGGTCTGCAATGCACCGCCTGGCGGTACCTCTAGCAACCCATGGAATAGGATTCCCCAGAGTGCGGAGTCTAAGTCCCAGTCTGCTTGTTCACCAGGGCCCCTGATGGTGGGGATGGACTTGGAGCAGACAGAGACCAGGTCGCAGCCCCTGAGTACACCCACCCGTGGTAGAGGGATCCGCCAGAGGTATATTCTGGAGGAGAGCCTGACGTGAAGAAGCGGATGGGTCCGTGCAGGACAGACGGATGGATGGATGGCTGAGCAGAAGCGTGGTCAGACAGGCCGGGTCGGTAACGGTGGGGACAGCGCGGTATAAGGCAGCAGGCACAGAATAGTTGGGTCAATCGCCGGGTCAGTAACAGGAGATCAGATCCAATGAGGGTATCCAAAGAGAAGTCAGACAGGCCAGGGATCAGGGCAGGAGAAGTCAGCAGAGGTCAGGATCAAAGCAGGGTCAGCAACAAATCAGATAGGCAGATATGCAGGAACACAGGATACCAGGTACAGGGGCTCATGGGAAACAACACCAAGGCACTGACTGCAGGCCTGGCCATTGCTTAAATACACCTCCAGCAATCAGCCTCAGGTGATGGCTTGATTGCAGTAGTGAGATTCTGGCTGCTGAGAGCACCCGCTGGCCAGCACTGGTACTGCAGCCCACAAGGCAGGTGAGCCCCAGCACCACCTGTGCTGAGCCCATTCCTGACACTTGTTGACACCTTGTTGAATCTATGCCCTGAAGAATCAAGGCAGTTCAGAAGGCAAAAAGGGGTCCAACCCAGTACTAGCAAGGTGTAGCTAATAAAGTGCCTGGTGAGTGTATACTAGTGAAAATAGTGTATGCCCTACAAAAATTAATACCAAAAATCATAAACCATAAATTAGAACTAAGTACTTTAAATACAATATATTTATATACAAAAAAATGTCCTTTTGTTGTGTGTGGTTGTTCTCCATTCCAACGGTAAAAGTGTGCAAATCTTGCTTTCAATATGTGCTCATTATCACCAAAAACATGTAAATCCTCCACCGACATTCTGTACATATATACTCTCACCTCCTGTATATGACTTATGAGATTTAGGTCAGATAGAGCTTTTCCCTTTACCCAGAGTTGGTATAGCCTTGTGCACTCTCCAGCCTCCAGTTCCCCATGTAACTCAATCCAGTCCCATCTTCTTAATCCATACACAATATTGTCTCCAAATTTCAGAAAGAATGCACCATAACAGCATATCAAACGTTTCCCACAGATATTTATTAAAAATTATATTGCACTTACATTAAAAAGTGCCCAACTGGAGCACCACAGTAAAAAGCTTTCTGTTCTCTTAAGAGATTAGGTCCCTCAGTCACTCTCAAGATGGCTGCTCTCCAGCTTCCAGGTGTGTGGCTTGACATCATCGACCTGCCCTATGCGTTAAATCGCTACCACATGACATCATCAGGGGATCATAATGCAGTGCAGCACAGTCATAAAGTGCTAAAATGTTTAATTTTTTGCATTGGTCTAGGTCTGCCCTAACAAGTATTGGCTTCCCATGCCTTTTATTTGATAATAACATGCTTATTAGACCTTCAATTGGCCATAATTTAACAACAAGACACACGTTCCCACCAATAGACTTTAATAAGGTTTGCTGCAAAGTTCACACACTTTAGACAGGATTTACAAAATCCGGGAAGAATTGGTGAACCCTACTCTCCTCTATGTGACAATGCTTTTCTACCAATGTGATACATTTTAACAATATTTTTACGGATTAAAAATATTTATCGTAGAATAATTTTATGGATGTGATTTTTTTTAGTGCTGTTCCAATCTCTTTATTCCTCAGACTGTATATGATGGGATTGAACAGAGGTGTAACGACAGAGTTTAACAATGATAAGATCTTATTTAAATTAAATGAATTTGCTTTTGATGGAGCAACGTAGAGGATGATCAAGGAGCCATAGTAAATGCAGACTACCGTCAGGTGGGAGCTGCAGGTGGAGAAGACCTTCTCTCGTCCTGTGACAGAGGAGATGCGGAGGATGACTTTGAAGATGCAGACATAGGTAACAATAATGAAAAGAACTTGGCTAAGTACTGTCACAATGGTAAAGGTGGACACCTCTATTTGGACCACTGTTGTGTCTGAGCAGGAGAGCTGCAAGATTGGACCAAGATCACAAAAGAAATGATTGATGATGTTGGATGCACAGAACTGAATGTTGAGAATAAAAGAATGAGTGATTAATGACTGACCAAAGCCTACTAACCATGTACCCAGGACAAGGTAATGAGGAAGGTTGGTGTTCATGATGGAGTTGTAATGTAATGGACGGCATATGGCTAAGTATCTGTCATAGGACATCACTCCTAGGAGGAAACATTCCATAATTAAGGTTACACCAACAAAATATAACTGGGTGACACAGGAAAGAAAGGAAATAGGTGCTTCACCTAATAAAACAATCCACAGTGTATTCGGAGTAACGTTCGTACTAATGACAAGATCACAGACCGAGAGGTGGCTGAGGAAGATGTACATGGGGGACTGTAGAGACCGACTTGAAGATACTAGCGCGATAATTAAAAGGTTTCCAGCTGAGGTCACAACATAAATTATTGTAAGGAGAACAAAGAGTGGGATTTTGAACTGTTGAAGGTTTTCAAATCCTAAAAGTATAAATTCTGCCACGGCTGTCTGATTATTATTAAACATCTCCTATAAAGAAAGTAATAAAATCCGTAAGTAAATGAAAAACATATCTATACTTCATTATATCTATGCTTTTTCCTTCTTTTTTCAATTTTATTTTTTATTAATATAAATACAATGTATATATATATTGTGGCAGTGCGGTGTCCTGCCACAGTCAAAATCCAAGCTGAAAACCCTGGATTCTCAACCAGGCAGGTTGAGGGGCTCCAGAAAGTTAATGTATTG